TCCATGTCTTGCAATCAATGAAGTCGTTGAATTGAGTTGAGTTGCAGGTTGGTGATAGAACGTAGTTGCTGGGAGTTTGGTCTCTGACCAGCTCTCATACCATGTTGGGCTAAAAAAGACCCTTAGAATCTTTTGCAGAGACTAAGTCCCAGCTTGTAGAGACTTGAGACTTGGAGTAGTGCAGCGGAAGTTGAGGCAGTTGAACGCTTGTACTAGTATGTGAGAACAAGTGATTGATTAAGGAAACAAGCATACAGCAATATATAGAAGATAAGAAAGCAGTTGTAGAGTACAGTTACAGGAACGGTTTATCGAGTCGCACAGCGACTCGATTGCTGCTTCGGTTACCATCCATGATGCTGTAATGGTCAGTCGCAACCTCCAGTTGCGACCTTTCGCATTCTTTGTCCGCCCCCTCGTGTAACCTCCGTTGACTCGCGTGCTCCCTTGTAGTCTTCCTCGAGTGTAGTGTTACACTTCAGAAACGCTTAAGTTCTTTGAGATATTTCCAACAGTAATATAGACAGTCGATTCGGGTAATCCAAGGGCGTCCAATCGGGTTGCGCTAGTATTTCCAAAGCGACCACACCTAGTGGTTGGCGAGCCAGAAAAATCCAGACGTGTCAGGCTCGCCAACCAATGCCGACGCAAAAATCGGCATGATGCGCTACATACGAGCAGCTCGTATGCGGTCCAGTAAAATTGCGCCAGCCATTCCAACGGAATCTATTGGCGTTGCCCCTGGAAAATCCGTCCTCCCACTGCCAATAAGAGCACGCCACAGAAGCTGCAGAGGGGTCCCAACATCGTTCCCCCCGCCAGCAGTTCCGACTCCTCGGGGTTATTTATATGCCCCAAGAAACAACCTCTACGCGACACAAATAACGATCCCGCCAAACCCACAAAGTCGTCCACATGGAACATGTGCGCCGTGTTGCGCTAGCCATCGGGCAGAAGGTTGCAATCTGCCAATACGCTAAGAAGAACCCGTCATTGCGTCTCGAAGACATTGGGTGATGGTGCCACACCAGATACGGTCTGTGGCCGAATCGCAGCACAGTCAGGCGAGTTCTGAAACCGAGCAGAAGTGGCGGGCCATCGGGCCCGAACGCGCCAAGTTCAAAAGGGTGCATAACCCACAATGGCCTCTACTGGAAGCTCGACTCAAGAGCTGGCTGAAAAGCACAAATGGTGCTGGCTTGCCAGTTTCGACGGCTCTAATCCAGCAGCGCGCGATACAGCTAGCCCCTGAGTGTAACGTGCCAAGCGACTTTAAGGCTTCTGTTGGATGGGTTCAGAAAGCACTGCGAAGAATGGGATTCAAGTGGCGTAAGATGAGCGGCGAAGCGAAGTCTGCCGACGAGGGCGCCGCTCTGACCGCGCAACTGCACTTCCCGAGGCTGTGCCACCAGCTTGGCATGACTCCGGAAAACCTGTTCAACTTCGACGAGACCTGCGTCTACTACAGTCTCCTCCCTGACCACACATTCTGCATCGACCCTACCCCGGGCAAGAAAGTCTACAAGGACCGGCTTACAGTCGCGCTGCTGGTGAATGCGGACGGTGCTACTGGCGCGCAAACACCCCCGGTTGGATGACGGCGGAGGTATGTGGCTCGGTTTCAATCGCTTGCGGGCACCGTGTCTAATAATGAACGATGACTTGTGTGGCGTGTGATAGAAACAACACTCTGATACACATTAGCCTATCCCATACGCCCCGCGCGGGTTTTCACGGCATTTTTCGAGCACGTTAATGCGTGCTGCATGATAGAAGGACTCCGCATCGTCGTCATGCTCGACAACGCTTCGAGTCACCTCCTGCAATCCCCTCTCGCGACGTCAGCCGACATCTGCGGGTTTCGGACGCGCGCTCTCTCGCACGTGCGCCTCGTGTACTTGCCGCCTAACACGACCCCGTTCACTCAGCCTCTGGACCAGGGTCTCATCGCCGCTATGAAGGCACGTTACAAAGTGGAGCTGCTCACAGCAGTTCTCGCACACTGGCAGATCCCGGGCGTCACCGTCGCCGCTGTTCTGAAGTGGAAGCCCGAGATGTGGCAGGTGGTGACATGGGTGTCGGATGCGTTTCTTGGCTTGGACACCGCAACCATCCAGAAGTGCTTTTGGCGGACGCGAATGCTATCCGCCACCTGGCAGCCGCTGCTACCGCTCCTCGGCATGACTTTTAAAGAGCAGGAGCCGCAACTAGAGTCAGAGATCAAACCGGTGCAGCAAATCATGCTGGCCCTGCCATTCGGCCCGGGCGACATGAGTTCCGCGACTCGTTTCGTCACCGCCGAGCGAGACGACGAGACGAGCGATCCAACCGGGGTGGATCCGCTTGATGTCGACCCGATTGGCCAGGCCCAGCGGGATTTGTGGTGGGCGAACGCGCCTCCCCCCCCGCCTCCGAACGACTCAGCGCGGAACCGGCGCAATCTGTCGCGCATGGCGACAAAGATGCTTATCGGCTACGCCAAGTCCATTGGCTTGGCGCCGCGGATCTGCGGGTGCTTTTCGACATCCGCAAACCTGCAGTAATTGATCGTTTGGAGCGCGCATCTCCCCGCCTGGACACTAACAATGCGCCCGGCGCGGCAGAGGCAGAGTACCTTACTCATGTTCGCAGCGCCACGGCGATATGACCGGATATCCTAACGCGGGCGAGTGGATGACATTTGGAGCCCAGCTGGCTACGTATCGCGGGTTCTAGGCGGTTGATGATGCACTTCGTCTTACGAGACGATGTCGTAGGCGCGAGAAGGCATGTGCGTTGCCTATGACCGTAGCGGCGCGGCGCGTGAGCTGTGATGCGTAGCAAGGATTTGGGGTCTGTCGGCCATCGTAAGCATTGTTTTCGGTCGGTGTATAATTTCGATTCCAGTCTAGTGTCGAGTGCTGTCTTTGGCGAATCGATTCTGTTTCTTGCTTGAGTGCTGTCCATGTTTGTCACGTTTGGATTCAATTCTTAAAATCAGATGAAACGCGGAGTTGAAACACAGATGACGAGGCTTGCGACGTGGTGATGTTTCCTCGGTCGCTGCATACGCTAGTCATGCCAACCATGTACAGTACACAAGAAGCAATGCCCCATTTCCTGGGAGAACCCTATAGTCCACGTTGCCCCTACCGTACCGTCAATATTCGTTAAAAGGGAAATCTGCCGAGTCGGCCTTTGGGTGCTAAGGGAATATGACATATACCGTACATCCCGCCAGTCTGTTCAACTTGGTTGCTCTGCAGAAAACCGTGAAAGACCTTGAGGTCAATTCTGCTTGAAAGATGTGAAGGTGCACTCGTTTCACGTATCAAGCTTCGTGTCAGGCACACTAAAATCAGCCTTCGCCATTCATGCTTCTGAAGATTTTGGGTTAGGGGAAAATGCAGAAGTTCGAATCAACTGTGGTGCACCGTAGCAGACCTGATGAAAATATATCGAAATGTGTATAGCCCCTCTAAAAGTTCGGACTCCAGGCCCATTTCAAAGAATATGTAGCCCTTAGAATCAATTTCAAATCGTAAAACGTAGAATTATGTGTCAAATTATCACACGAATATTGACACCGGGGAAAAAAAAAGGGGGTCATGGGTAACAAAGGCAAGGGAAAGTAATCAAATAGTTCAAAATACCACATTCAAGTTTACCCCCGCGTTCATTTGACGGGTTTCAGTATAGAGGGTATAAAGTTGGATTTTCTCAGTGCTTGGTTCCAATGCCCACCACCAATGTAGGCGTTTCCCGTGTCCTTCATTTTCAGCAGTCTGAGCCTAAGGTCGCCTGCGGAAGTTTGGAGGACAACCGAAGTTTGGACAAAAGAGGAACTTTTCCTTTCTCTCGGTATGACAGTCTAAATAATGGGTATACTCGTGTTATTAAAGATCGAATACACTTACAGTCCCCAATCCGAAGCAGTCTATAGAGACTCGTCTACTCCGCCATCTCTCGCTAAAACACACTGATTCAGTGCACGTTTAGGTGGAGACCTGGGCCTCGGCAAATGGTAAACTGGGAAAACTGACAGGATCTGCTGTTTTCAGGGTGAATAGGTGTACAGATTGAGAAACCAACTTTCCTTCCAAACTTCGTTTGTCGTCCAAACTTCTGAAGGCAATGTAAGGGATGTTTCTAGTAGGTCTCATCCGGAGAAAGTGTCATCAGAGAATATGGGAAACCCATCGCAACCGTTGAAGTTTTGACATAACGGTTTTCGATGGGTTTCCAAATACTCGGATGACACTTTATCAGGATGACACCTAATAGAAACACACCCTAAGGGTTTCCCTGCAACAGTTTTCATGCTTTGCGGCCAACACCTCAGGGCTTGTTTCTAGTAGGTGTCATCCCGAGTTGGTGCCATACGGGAAAGTTGGAAAACCAATCACGTGCGTTTTGCTGAAAACTCACAGCATACGATTGATTTCCAGCTATCTCGGATGACACCAAATTGGGATGACACCGACTAGAAACAATCCCTGAGGTGTAGGCCTCAAAGCATGAATGCTGTTGCAGGGAATACTGGAGCAATCCTTGAAAAGGACCCCTTGTGTGACCTGGGCAAACAAAATCCTCAAATTCCACTACACGTTGGTTGTTGACCGTCGACAACATGGGGATTTGTACAAACAGATTACGCGTACCATTGAAATCATTGACGCGAGGTGCTGACACTTAGAGCCAGGACCCTGCGCGAAACCTGCCTTGGTGCGACCGGCAGGTGGAACGAGCCTAGTTGCCATCCCTTCAAGCGCTGCCAAGTTGCACCCGTGTTCTGCCTGACCTGGTTGCTGCTTCAATACTGAACATGCACTTCGTCCAGCGGATGATGGATTTTGGAATGCCAGGACTGTCCACATCACTTCCATGCCTTCCTTTCGCGGGAAGCCCCTTCCCCCTCCCCCCATTACCACCAAACCCCCTCCCCCGACACCCCAGTGGCGTCAATGCCACGCCTCGTTTCTTGGTCTGCACGCCATTCAAATTTCCAAATCTTCTTAGTCAAGCAGTTCCGCTACCAGTTGATTTCTGAGTGCTCATGCAGAGCGCAACTCACCGTGGCCATGGTTTGAGAGTTTATCTTGGGCGGTCCGTGCTACCCCTTCTCATTGCTAGATTTTTTTTAGTTTTAGATTCGTTAATTTATCCTTTTTGTACCAGTTGCTTTGAGGTGTGGCGCAAGCCCTCGTAACCCGCATACCGTACCCTTTTTAGCCGTTTCTCGGTTCGTCTTCTATCATCTGAGATCGCGAGTCTGGTACTCGTTCAAGCGCATTCGCTGGGTTTTTTGGTTTCCCCGATAGCCTAAAGACATTGTTGCATCGAGCATTTTCGGCCTCTACCGCAATGGACGAATCACGCGTTGGCTTCACGCTTTTTCAGACAGACTGTTCGCAGTCCTCGCTCTACACTCTCCGCATGCCATTTGTTACAAGTTCTAGCCCGCAATCCTCTCCTGCTACTAATTTGGCCGCTGTTAGCTCGACAACGCCTGCTGACCCGGAGTCCGCATCTTATGTGTCCCTAGACCTGTCCGTTCCTTCCTGGTGGCTTCCTATCGCCCATGACATCGCGTTTGCTGGTAATGCAGCAGATCTTGCGAAAATCAAGGCGAAGGAAGCAGGAGCAGCGAAAAATGACGAGGATTGCGACGAATGCTTCCTCGTGCTTGGCGGAACTGTGTTTGACGGGGATAGACGGCAGGCGGTGCCGGCTACCCGCCTTGAAGTGCTCAACGAGCGGCTCCAACAGATCGAACGGCGCGCGGGCGCGCTGGATGAGCTCCTGGTGGCGATCGAACGGCTGGCGGAGAGTCTGAAAGCGTCGCGAGGTTCAGGGGGCTCGGAAAGGAGTGGAGATTACAGGAGGAGGGAGGAAAGCGGCGGTGGCGGAAGCGGGAGGAGACGCACGGATGCGGGGGAAGAGGATTGGGGGGGGAATGAGGGGGATTCGGAAATGGATGTCGACAGTGACGGAGGGCTTGGTTATGGTGACGATGATGATGATGATGATGGGGATGATGGGGATGATTCCAGTGATGGGGGTTCTGATGACGAGGATGCGATGGAGGACGAAGAGGATGATGGGGATGACGACTATGGGTACGACGCGTTTTTAGAGGAGGATGACGGCATCCAGTGTGACAAAGACGAGGGGGAGGATGGCCCGGATTGGGAGTGGGGAGTGGGGCGATTTCACTGCGTGTCCTCTGGAGCGGCTGCGGCCGATTCTGCCACGGATAGTTTGTCCCTGATAGAAGCGGAGGCGTTAGAAGCACAGGCGGCGTGCCATGCCGCGTTCTCCGCCGCACGCAAAGGCAAGAAGAGCCGGCCGAGTCCGAGCGCGGAGCGGGACGACCCGTGGCAGTTCGGCGCGGAGGAAGGGGGCGAGGCGGCGCGGGAGGAGGCGGAGCGCGTGCTGCGGTGGTGCACGGTGCGCAGCGTGGGCAAGCGCGGCATGGTGCGCTTGCAGATGGAGGCGGGCGGCATCGTCAGCAACGCCAGGGCGCTCGCAGCGCTGGGCCTCTCCACCGCCTCCCCCATCGTCCTCGCCTTGCACTTCCCCGACCACGCCTGGCGCCTCCGCCCCCTCCAAAAGCAGCAGCACCACCACCTCCATCAGCGCCATCACCACCATCAGCAGCAGCATGGGAGTGGGAGGGAAGCGCAAGTGCCATCCTTCCCTGAGCCTTCGCGTGTGGTGGTGTCCCAGCCAGCGGCGGAGGGGGGGGAAGGAGGAGAGGTGGGCGGCGGGAAGGCGGAGCAGAGGAGGGAGCGGCGACAGGCGCTGGTGCGAGTGCTGCTGGAGCAGTGCGTGGGGCACTCCAGGAGCATCAGCACGGACCCCCTCGTCCCCACCCACAACCCTGCCACCGCGGCCAACGGTAGCAAGAGCAGCAGCAACGGCACTGATGGCAGCACGTGGAGCAGCAATGCACCTCCCAAGCTGAGCGAGACTGCGATGCTTGCTGCCTTGAAAAGGCTAGGCGGCTTGGAGCAGGTGAAATCAGGCGCAGCAGCATCGGCGTCAGCGCGGCTGGGGTGCAGTGTGCAGGAGGCGCTGGAGGCGCGGGTGCTGCAGGTGGTGGAGGCGGCGGACGAGCGCGTGGGTCGCGAGCCGCCGTGCCGAGTGGGGCTGGACTCGCTTCTGCCCGATGCCGTCTCTGCCTTCGTCCAGGGGCTGGAGCTGCCCACGCAGAGGGGGGAAGAGAAAGGGGCGGGGAGAAAGGGAGGAGGGGAGCGGGGGGGGGGGAGGGTGGGTGGGAACGTGTTTGTGGGGCTGCTGGTGCACGTGGCGCGGCAGCTGCAGGCGGTGTGCGAGCGGTGTGTGATCTGTGGGCAGCAGCTGGCGCTGAGGACGCAGCGCGTGCGCCCGTGCACCGCGGACTTCTGCCTCTACCGCTTTGAGGAGCTGGGGCTGGCGTCCGACAGCCTCTCCGAGCTGCGCGCCTTCCCCCTCGCCGTGCACCTCGACGTCACCCTCGCCCTCGCCGCCGCCCAGGCCGGCGCCCGCGACGTCTTTGAGCCCTTCCCCTCCTTCCTCCTCTGCTCCGCCCAGCAGCTCCGCGGCCGCTCCGGCTGGTTCTCCGCCCACTCCACCGCTGCTGCCAACGCTGCTGCTGCCACTGATGCCAGCGGCGGCAGAAGCAGGGGAGCAGGGGGTGGCGGAGGGAGCGGAGCGGGTGGGGGGTATGGAGGGGGGCAGGGCACGGGGGAGAGGGCGGAGGAGAGGGGCGGAGTGAGCAACAAGCGGCTGAGCGTGCTGAGCAGCGTGCTGCAGAACCTGCCGCCTCTGGCCGCCCTGCAGCAGTGCCAGTCCGAGTGGGAGCTCAAGCTGCTCCTCGCTGCTTCCTGGATGCTTCGCTCTGCTGTCGTGCGCAAGGCCCTGCAGGCAGAGGCGGCGGAGAAGGCCAAAGTGGACGACCAGGTGGACGAGAGGGCTAAAGGGGTCGACCTGGCAGACAAGGGCAAAGCGGAAGTTGCAGGGGTAGGCGCCGCAGGGCAGGGAGAGGGGGCAGCTGCTGCAGAGGGAGGGTCAGGAGCAGGGGCAGGAGCAGGGTCAAGAATAGGAGCAGGAGAAGGAGTAACAGTGGCGAGGGGTGAGAAGGCTGCAGCCGCGTCGGAGTCAGCCACGGCAAAGGCAGCAGCGAAGGGCGGAGGTGGGGGGATGAGTGAGGAGCAGCGGGTGCTGGCGGACGTGCTTCTGCCGTACCGAGTGCTGCGCTTCGTCGTCAGCACCAGCCGCCTCACCCTCCTCAATCTCCAGGGCGCGCCAGAGGCCACCGACCAGCCCCCCCAGCAGCCGAACGCCAGGCGCCACAAGAAGCAGCAGCAGCAGCAGCAGCAGCAGCAGCAGCAGCAGCAGCAGCAGCAGCAGCAGCAGCAGCAGGAGCCGGACTCCATCCCCTTGAGTGTGGGCGTGCAGCCGTCTCTGCTGACCCCCGGCGAGGGGGCGGAGGGGGGCGAGTGGGCGTGCGCGGGGCTGCCCCTGACGGCGTGCCACCAGCTGGCAGTGTTCGCTGACGGGTGCCCCCAGCAGGCCCGCTTCGAGCGCCTGCGCCAATCCATGGGGTCCTTCTTCGCCTTCCACGGCAGCGCCACCCTTAACTGGTTCTCCATCCTCCGAAACGGCCTTCGCAGCATGAGCAACACGGGTTATATGTCGACTGGGGCGGCTTACGGCTCTGGAATCTACCTCTCCCCTCACTTTTCGACCTCGTTTGCGTATTCCAACGGGCATGGGTATGGGTCGGCTGGGGGCTTCTGCTGTGTGGCGATCTGTGAGGTGGTGCATTCGCCTGCGGCTAGGGGGAGGCCGCAGGAGAGGATTGCGCCGGGGCAGGGGAGTACGAAGGAGGAGAGGATGTATGTGGAGGAAACTGTGGTTGAAGGGGGGGGCGGGGTTGGGAAGAGTGGTGGGGAGGAAGGGCAGGGGGAGGGGGAGACAGGAATGAATGTGGATTCTTACCCTAGAAGTGCTTCTGCTGGTGCTGCTGGTGTTTCTGGTGCTGGTGGTGGTGGTGCTGCTGCTGTGGCTGGTTTTAGAGGTGCTCAGCAGCACGAGCAGTTACCGCAGGGGAATGGAATCATAGTGGTGGATCCGGGGTACGAGGAGCACGTGTGCATCCGTTTCCTCCTGCTGCTAGCCCCAGGCTTCAACCCTACACAGCACGCCAGTCAGGTCACCGCGAGTGCCTTAGCAGCAGGAGGAGCCGGTGCTGCTGGTTCGGTGAGGGCTCGTGGCCCATATTACCATCAGTCCCAGATGGATATAGTGGAGGGGCGGACGCTGCTGGGAGTGGATCTGAGGCAGACTCATGCTCGTGTGTTTGCAGCATGGCAGACGCGGAGGAGAGAGGCGTTTGAGTGGAGGCAAAAAGAGAGGCTGGTGGCGCTGGCGGGGGAAAGGTCAGAGGAGGAAGAGATGAGGGAGAGGAAGTGGGAGAAGGAGCGGGAGAGGGAGAGGGAGGAGAGGCAGGAGAGGGTGGGTAAGCAGGGTGCTGGGAGGGCAACGGACAAGAAGAATGCGACTCCGGGAGCGACGAATGCGATTCAGAAGGAGTACCGCAACATGATGAGGCTGCAGGTGGGTGGGGGCAGGGTTTCAGGTGGCTGAGAGTGTTTTTCGGGGGGGTGAGAGTGTTTCAGGTGAGTGAGAATGTTGTTTCAGGTGAGTGAGAGTGTTGTTTTCGGTGAGTGGGAGTGTTCTATCAGGTGAGTGAGAGAGTCGATTCAGGTGACTGAGAGTGTACCCTCTACAGTAGGATCCAGTAACACCTACCAAGTCTACCATTATATATATCAAATATATAATTTAATACACCCCCGGCTTGGTAGCCTCCAGGATGTCATCAGGAGGGTTAGGCTCCATATATCTCTTAAAGTAGCTAGGTTTCTAGGTAGGTAGAGAAGCCATGGAAATGGCATGAGGTTTTAGGTGGAAGAAATTGATGAGAGAGAAGAGAATTGGACTAGAAAAGAGAGGGATACAAGAAGGGAGTTGTACCCTCTACAGTAGGATCCAGTAACACCTACCAAGCCTACAATTATATATATATATAATATATATAATTTTACACACCCCCTAGGCTTGGTAGCCGAAAGCACACCACGCACACAGCACATTAAGCCACACACCCCCTAAGCCTAGCATCCCCATACTCAGCAGCAGAGACGGCTTCTCCAGCGGAGCGTACGAGGCGGCGACGTCTCGCAGTCAAGAGGCCACAGCTCGCTCCCGACAGGCTCCTTCACGCCCAGTCTTCCGACAGAGGACGCCCTCTATGTTCTCTAATTGTTTTTCTCCACCCCCTTCCCTTGCCCCCTTTTCTCCCTCCGTCCGTGTGCAGTCAAGAGGCCACAGCTCGCTCCCGACAGGCTCCTTCACGCTCGGTCTGCCAATAGAGGACGACCTCTATGTGTGGCGCATCCGCCTCTCGCCCCAGGTCTTCAACGACACGCCCTTCCACTCCGAGCTAGCCCAGATCTGTGCCAGCAGCAGCACAACTGCTGATGACCCATCCAGTGCTGCTAGTGCTGCTGGTGGAAGGAGCAGCGGGCGTGGGGGACAGGGGAGTAGTGCGAGTAAATCTTCTACAGGGGGGAGAGAGGGAGCGGCAGGAGCAGCAGCAGCAGGAGGAGGAGGAGCAGGAGTGGAACTGGAGATCCGGTTTCCAGGTGGCTTCCCCTTCGACCCCCCATTTGTGCGGGTCGTGTCTCCCCGCTTTGCCTTCCACACAGGCCATGTCACTGTCGGCGGTTCTATCTGTATGGAGCTCCTTACTCAGTCTGGTTGGTCCCCCGCCTACTCCCTTGAGTCGCTCCTGGTGCAAATAGTTGCGAATATGGCTGCGGGAGGGGCGAGAGTGGATCCGCTGTATGTGAATGCAGGCAGGTGTGGTTGCAGGGAGGGGCCTCATGCGGGGGGGTGCTATTCGCTGGCCGAGGCTAAGGATGCGTTTACTAGAGTGGCGGGGCAGCATGGGTGGAAGGTGTGACGGGGGGGAGGGTGGAAGAAAGGTGTGAAGGAGGAGGGGTGGATGGTGGAATGGGAAGGAGGGAGGAGGAGAGGAGAGAAGACAGGGAGGAGAATAGAAGAAAAAACAGAGGAGAGGAATCAGCCGACAGGTGATGGGTAAGGGGGAAGCAAACCCGAAAGAGCCAAAGAAGGGGGAGAGCCAGGAAAGGGGGGGAGGAGAGGAGGAGAGGGATTGGATGACAGGTGATGGGCAAGGGGGGAGCTGGAAGGGTAGAAGAAGATTGCAGGCTTGATTTGCGCGATGGAGAGGAGAAATTGTTTCAGGAACCAGGAAAGGAGGGGAGAGGAGAGTTGGGGAAGGGGGAAGGAAGAAATGGTTAGGTCAAGAGAGCGGTGGTATGCAGCTAGGTGCTATTTGCATGGAAAGGCATGAGGTGTCCATGTGAGGGTGTGCGGAGAGCAGTAAATGAGGTGTTGGTGCCAGCAGATCAATGGATTGGAACAGCTTTATTTGTGCTACAATGCTCTTTCGCTGTTCGACTTGCTCTGGGCTCTTTTTATGTAAATAAAGGTTTGTGTTACTGCAACAAACATGTATTTCTCAAAGTTAGAATATTTGAGTAGAATGAGAGTTTACAAGGGTACCATATATAGCTAGTGGGTTGTACTCTCTATGGCATGACTCTATGTAGTCACCAGGGCCCCTGACAGCAGACGAATTCGGTGTGATCGTCTGATAATCAGACTTGAATTTTTAGGTTCATCTGATTTTCAAGACCACTTTATTAATTCCGTCTGAATGTCAAGACAGACGTTTTTACTTCGTCTGAAAAATCAGACAGCGTGTAATGTTTCGTCTGAGTTTTCAGACGAGTACATTTTCGTCTGAAACAAACAAATATGCCCACTAGGCCACAAGGCAGCTTGTCTGCCAGATTCGGTCATTCCCCGTGCCATGCGAAGTTATGAAATCGCGTGAAGTCGCATCCACGCTGTCGAAAACCTCAGGCCCCTAGCTGTCCTCTGACTCAGAAGCTGCCACGCCGTTGTCTCTTAGCAGGGTGTCGGCACTCCAGCCAGGCACAGCGCAGGACTCAGTGTGGCGGTAATACGTCAGGGCGTTGTCCCTTAGCGTATTGTCGGTGCCCGTGACAGCATTGAGCAAAATGATCCTGGCAGCATTGCGCCAGCACATTTCGTCCTCGGCAGGCAAAGATGCAAGGACATGAGTGATGCACCGCGGGCTGCGTCCCACACCATGCGTCGAGGCGCACGAATGAAGGCGCTTGGAGGGAGATGAAAGTCCCCCCAGTTTGCCCCCCTAACCCATCATTCCTCCTTTCAAGCGTTCATGCGTAGCACAAGCAGCAACAGGGCTAGCTGCACGACTCTAAGCGTGTAGTTTATGCTCCTCTGCGGCTGTTTCTGGCTTGCGCGATCCTGAGACAGGCCCCATGACAACAGACGCTGCTGGGGTCAGTGCCAGCCCTCAACTGCTGCTCCGTCGATCTCGGCGCTGGATCTTCTAGGCCGCAAAACGTGCAGCCAGTTTGCTGCTTCCCCTGCGCTGTCTGCGGTTCCTTCCTGCCCGGAGCCCGCTAGTTTGGCGCCATCGGTCATTCCACGGACCATGACGGCGGCTAGAGTGGCGCCCGCTGCAGCGCCACCCGCGGTAGTGCCTCCTAGTCCACCGCCCGCATTGTCGCCGTCTACCATGACGCCACATAGTCCCTCGACTGCTGCTGTGGCGCCTACTGCTGCGCCTCCTAATCCCCATCCCGTTGCTTCACCTCCTACCGTGCTGCCTGCTTCGCCCCTAATTGCATCTCAGCCTGCCGTGGTTCTTTCGATTCCATCCTCCGAGGCTACACCCAGCACCCCGCGCTTCGACGGCTTGCTGCCAGAAGTAGACGTTGAAGAGTGGGTCCGCAGCCCGCTCCCCCCATCCTCTCCCCGCGTCGCTAGCACGTCGACTGCTGGTGCACCAGCCCCTCTCTTCTCTGCTGGCCATGTCTTACCCACCAGGTACCCTGGGAAGACGAAGTACAAGCAGCGCAAGCTGACATTCGGGAGGCCGCGATCACCCACCTCCACGCCAATTACTCCACCTGCCGCGCTCACGTCAAATGCTGGATTGTCGACCCCTGATTCACTGGACGACATTGTGGACGACGGTCCATGGCCGCTGACACTGGAGGAGCTGCAGCTGAAGTGCAGTGAGCAATGGCAACGTCACTTCCCCTGGCTGTTCATCTCGGAGACGAAGGAAGGTCGTCCGTACATGAAGTGCACCGTCTGCATCGCGCACGGAGAGCCAATGTACCAGTATGGGCGCTATGGGGAGGGCGGCATCGACATTCAGAAGTAGACCATGCGGAAGCACGATCACAGCATCAAGCATGAGGCAGCGATGGCGGCAAAGGCGCATCGGGATGGCAAGATGAAGAAACAGAGGAGTATTGTGGAATTTGAGAACGGGGATGAGGACGCACGATGTTTGAAGAGGCTCTTTGCCATTGTGCAATTTATCTGCAAATCTGACGCCCCCATCGCCCTGTTTGTTTCGTTGGTTCAATTCATGGCAGAGCAGGGGACTCCAGACATGCCCCTGAAGGAGAACGGCACTTATTATTCAGAGTGAGTGTAGTCGAATGACACACCCTCTCACCCTGACTTATGTCATTGTCCCGCTTGGCTGTTTTTTAAGCTTCAAAATATACGACTGACTTGTCCGTTTAACTCTGCAGGTACGCTTTCGCCCAGCTGGTCGAAACCATGGTGGCCTACTTGCGCGCAAAGCAGTTGAAGCACATCCTGACAAGCCCGTACCTCGGCATTCAGCTCGACAAGATTACGGATAGGCGGCAGGGAAAGCATCTCATCGTCTACTTGACTTTCCTACGGGACGAGGAGGTCGTCACCGAGTTTTATGCGCACCTCACAGTGGACAAATGCGACGCGGCTTCACTGCAAGCTATCCTCCTCACGCATCTCGACGCAACCGGCGTGGACCTCCAGAAGATCTATGGCATCAGCACGGATGGCGCGAGCGTCATGACGGGCGCGTCGACCGGGCTGGTGGCACGGCTGCGGTCCCGCATCCCGCACCTAGTCTCTTGCCACTGTGTCGCACATAGGTAAGAGCAGTGTTCTGAGGCACCAAATTAAAAGCATGCTGTACATCTTCCAATACAGTCACCCCCTTTTGACTATGCACATGCTTACCTTGTGTGGAGGGAAGCTCTTGCTGCCAAGGATGCGGCAGCTGAATTTCCCGACCTTGGAGTCACTTGCAGAGGTCCTCGGCAGGTCTATTGTCTTGCATTCACGTTTCAAGCAGCTCCAGGATGTCGTCTCAGAGACGAACCTAGAGTTGCAGGGAATCCACAACATCAGATGGTTATCCCAAGGTGAGGCCATCCAGAGGCTAGTCGAGGTATTCCCTGCCGTCATCATACTCCTGTCGGAGCATGATCGGCAGGCGTACACCATGGTAATTAGCTTGAAATTCCATTTCCTACTCTACTTCCTTGCCGATGTCCTCAACGAGCTCAACCTGATCAACCTGAAGTTTCAGCGCCGCCAGGTAAATGCTACTGCATCCCGATGTGCGGCTTAATAAATGACTCATTTCTAACATCTCTTTGCTTTTCCTTGAGGTCGACGTCACCCACGTTTGCCAAATGGTGGACAACACCAAGCAAACTCTGCGCAGCCGCTACGTCAACTATGGTGAGGCCTTCGGTCATTGCAACACGGCCCTAGTGGAGTTCATCATGAAGCACTCATCACCACATAACCGCGAGGTGACAGTCGAGGGCGTAGACGGCGATGGCACCAGGCTCATCCACACCTACATGCTGCACGAGAAGGCTCTCCCTAGATAAATCAGTGGCGGGGACATGAAGTCGCTGATGACCATGGCAACTGCGTTCTTCCTCGGGCTGCTGGACAGCATTGATTCCCGCTTTGCAGATCCGAAAACCCTCAACTGCTCCAAGCTCTTCTGGCAGGGAGTGTACCCACGGACCATCCAGAAGCGGGAGCGACGATTTCCACTGTGGCTGATAGGTTTACGCAACCTGTACAAGCGTGAACCCTCTTCTCCCGATAACCTGCCTGGTGAACCCTCAACTACAGCAAGCTGTTCCGCGGCTAGTTTCTCCATTCCTCGGTCCTCACTGCCAAAACCCAAGGATTCGCGCATGTATTGACTATGCAAGTGCAATTATCTCCCTATTGTGCTCACTCCATGATTTCCCCTCCGTGTCCTACGCCTGCCCCACCCTTATTCCAGGCATCAACTGGACAAAGGCTCAGAAGGAACTGACTCAGTTTACGACTATCATGTCAACACATTGCAAGGACTACGGCTTTCTCGACGGCCTGAAGAACATGCTACGACCCCCTGACTGGCAGACGGCCTACCCGAACTTGGTGCATCTGTGGATCGCTGTGGCAGTGCTTCCTCTGAGCACTGTTGAGTGCGAGCGGGGTTTCAGTCGCCAGAATGTAATAAAGAGCTGGCTCCGCGGGAACCTGTGCGGCGAAGCTGTCGGATCTTCTGTCCATTTCTCTCCTCGATTACGACTGTCACAGGATCGAATGTGTCGAGGAAAGGTTGCACTATCGATCAGTACAAGGCGCTTTTATACTTCCAGAGTACATCAGGTAACCAAGTTTATCTTATCCTAAGGGAATAGACCCTTCTAGAAGATAGAATCACCCTGCGTATAGCCACGCGAGGCTATTGGCTTTAAGGGATTACAGCAGGATTACGCTAGATAGCGTGTCTAGAACATTCCATGCCTGGTCGGTGATATAATAATAATAAAGGAAGAAAACCAAAGGATAATGGAAAATGGGGAATATGAGGCAAAAGGAGGTGAGATAAAAAGAGGAATGAAATGAAGATGAAATATGGAAAAGGCCAAGTGGTGTAACGGAGTCGTACTCTCACACTTCCCCCCCTCAAAGCTGGGTGGTAGAAGTAACACCCTGCTTGACAAGGTAGTCATGCAGAGGACGACGGGCGTTACCCATGTCGGACTCAGAGACCCAGCTGTCCTCAGAAGGATCATAACCCTTCCAACGGATGAGAAGCTCCACGGTGCCATTCCGACGACGACGATGTGCAAGCACGGACTCGACCTCGTACTCGGGTTCGTTCTGGACGAGGACGGGCGGCGGCGGCGGCGGCTGGCGTCCGACAAAAATTGTGTTCGGGTCCCGATAGGGCTTCAGAAGTTGGACGTGGAAGGCGTTGTGAATCTTCCAGGTAGCTGGCAGGCGTAAGCGGAAGGTAACAGGAGTGACCTGTGCTTCAACGAGAAAAGGCCCGCAGAAGCGAGGTCGCAGTTTAGATGGGAGATGGCTGATGTCCAGGTTGCGGGTGTCAAGAAGAACCTTGGCTCCCACGGAAATGGTGTGGTCGTTGCGATGGCGATCGGCCTGGCGCTTCTGTTGCTGTTGAATGTCAAGGAGGCGCTTATGGGTCCGATCCCAAAGTTGATGCATGGTTGTAATGAAATCATGTGCGGGTTGGACTGTAGGTGATGCTGTCGGTTTTTGTGGTGTGAGTGGG